ACAGTCACGTTATATGTCATAGGCACGCGGCTTTTATTTCGAGAAAAGACCATGTGATCAAACGTTGATAGCAAAGGATCACCGGTGGGGCAATACATACAATACCACAGCCCTGCACTAAAATGTGCTTAAGTTCTGGGCTGGGAGGAGTTATGTGCGAACTATGTGGCTTATGATTGTAAGGCTGACTGCTCTCACACGAAACATCGCACATTCCTACATACAAATCGAAGTTGATCTATGTGGAATTATAACGCAAGGCGGGTGTGGCATTTATCTCCGACAGTCCGCTTGGGTACCGGCTATATGTCAGCAACGTATAACACTGCTGACAGCTAGATCAAATTGGCTTCGATGACGGCTTCGAAAAGCTTCACTTGTGCCCTTTTGTTATCCATTTTTAGGCTTGCGCTTCATCAATATTATAAACTTCCTCTTCAAACCATGCGGCAGGTCAAGGTTTCAAATGCGGATGGTCAGGATTCCCAACATCTGACGTAAGGCTCCTGTAGCGAATAAGTTAGCTTGGCGTCAAGAGTTGATTGTTAATGGGATGACTCACTTATGCCACACCGCTTTTTCTATATGTTACAAATGCCACTCACTATTGTAGCATCCCCTCGCGCATCCGCCCCCCCCCCCCCCCCCCACCCCACCCTCAGCCCCAGCCCCACCCCACTCCCACGGAATGGAACCAAATGTCTGGACTGCCTGGACTGGGGCCAAGAGCCTGGCATGCGATGTTGAACTCAGTGGCAACGGTGACGTAAGCGTCGGCTAAGCGCAGACGGACTTTACGTCCAGGAGCGGCCGCCGAGCACCGCGGATCAGGCACGGGCCCCGAAGAATGGCTGCCGATTTATGACCGCAGGTGCCGAGGGACTGGAGATTTGGTATTGAGCGTCCGTGTTTGCCCAACAGAAAATGAGGTTTCAAAACCGACGGGTATCAGTTAGGTGGCTGACATTTTGTAACAGCTGTTCCATGCGGATTGTAGATGCGGATTCTGTGGTGGGAGCGCTGATGAGTCTTAGCCGTCAACAAATCTGTGGGGGCTTCACACCACCGAACGGACGCTGTTTTTGTGTCATGGTCGTTTTTATCCGCTATTTTATTGTTTTCCTGGGATTCGTTTTCTTATGGCGCTGGTAAATGTCATTCGATAGAGAACCTTGTTCAATGTTGCAAATTTCAGTGCAGTTTTTGCGAGTTGTTGGAGCATTGACAGCAAAACAACAGATATAAGACAGACTCATACTGGTATAGAGCATAAAACAGAGTGTAATGTATAAAGCTTCCTTTAGGAGTATTAAGCCTTTAAGTTATTTGAAGGCTGTATCGCCACGCTTCTCCTTTGTAATAACGGACATTTACGGATTTTTATTGTTGGTTAAAAAGGGGGACCGTGGGGCTATTAATGCCGTATCTTGATGGACATGCCTGTCGTCTAACCATCGGTTTTGTCACTAACGTTTTCAAATGGGTCACAGAGTTCAAATAACCAACTCAAGTGACTGCGCATTGAATACAGATATGCAGCTTTGATCCCATCGGAATGATAAAACTTCGCTGAGGTTTGCTGGTAACCTTGATACACTACTTTGAAGCCACGTGTGCAGTTTATTGCACGCATTTGATGCGGGCTTCGTGTTACGGCGTTCCCTTTAAGGTCTTAAATTTGACCTCCAAATTACTGCGAATAGTAACACATAGCATTTACAGAGTCGTGTTGTAAGTAATGCAAATAAGTTGGCCTATAATCGTTCTTTCTCGTGTTTTTGCGAACACTCAGGTGCATAAATGGTGACTGGACACCCTCCATGCGGTACACCGTCCGTCCGTCCAACCGTCGGTACACCACTGATCCTTCGTTGACGTCCAACGGCTGCATGATTGACCAGTCAGGGAAATGCTGCCGGTGCGTAAATATCCACATCCGGGAGCATTCCTTGGTGCCGATCGACAGCTGCCGCGGCAGATTAATCAGAGTCCAACAGAGATACATGCACCGTTAGCTAAGAGCCGTAATTATAAAGCAGGATAGACTCAGTTTAAGTCACGGAATCTGGGCGGTACCGGCTAAAAGTAGATGTCATGAACCAGAGACGAGTGGATGACAGACAGACTGCTAGGTCTGTGTGACAGAAGTTGACATTTATAAATATGGTCGTCAAATGACTTGTCTGCTAATCTAACGCTGGAACGAGAGTCGTAGACAGGTCAACTGAGCGTCATTGCATGCCACTAGACACCTGGAGACGGATGCTGCGAGCTGCTATCATTCAGGTGGTATACCATTAGGAGACACGCCGTAGAAGCCATGCTCTGACACAGCATTGAGTGGATGCTAGTTGTATTCAGTGTAAGACCATGGCTAAAACTCCGGAGTTGTCACCAACACACGTGAGTTCATGGCTTAAAATACACAGCTCAGTATACAGGTCTGACAGTCAAGCTCTGACAAACATGCTGAGTTTCTGAGCCGGAGGTAACAAGCAGCAGTGAGCTGAACACTGTCCTATAACGCTGTTCTGCCTCTTGCCGAGTCGCAACAGCTGGCATGCCATGTTTCCGCAGGCAGCTGTGGTCCATGTAAATTAAAAGTGCAATGTTGAGAGCTTGTTCAGCGCTGCTGGTAAATACTTTTTTTGCTTTTGTCGATTTCGTGACTTTGCATTCATGGTAGTTTTTTGCTGACATCACGAGCCCTGTGAATCCTCCAGGGTCTTCTTGCAGGAGAATCTGCATCGGTTATTCTGATGTCATCTATACCTCTTGCGGTTTATTCACTTTGGCGGCGCTAGAAGGACCACAGTAGCCGGAATATTCTTTTTAACTGCAGCCGCAATTCACGACTCCACAATGCATACATGCACACGACGCAGCGTTGCTGCTTTGATGGTTCACTGTTATTTAAAAAATGTGGTATTAGCATTAGACCAACCACGCTCGGGGTAGTAATAGGCGGATCTATGCAGCTTATGTTGACCGGTCGTGCCACTCTCGTGGGACAAATATCATGTCATAGCAAGTGGTTGTGGACAAAAGTTCTGCAGTAAGAGTTCTGCAGTCCTCGCCCGGGATATCTTACCACCCTCGATCGCCCGATGATCTTTTGAGAGTCATTTCCTTCTCCCTCGCGCTCTCAGAGCCCATTGGAAAAAGAGCAGCAGTTGATAAGACCATTAAGATTGCGGTAGGCCTCCCACTGGCATCCGCAATCATGACCGCATGGTTGTATAATTAGTGTGGGAAAGGAGAACATGTTTTTCCCGTCACTGCCGTTGCATGATGTTATCTTCGGAAAAGTATCGAGGTCAGGTCAGTGTTAAGTGGGATCAAGGCCAGGGCAGCCCATTGGATATGTCTCATGCACCTCCAGCTCGCAAAGACTGTATAATTCATTTATTTCAATATGGTTGATTATTGCAGCCTATATATTACGAGCGGTTGGCACAAACGTTTTTTTGTTCGAAAATTGTTAGTTGAACTAACCTGACATCCATTGGTGGACTAGTATGGTTTTGCATGGTGTGACCTTGGTTGTCACAGCAAAACGAGGTAGTAAATTACTTGGGAGCAACGCAAAACAAGACCTAAAATGACTGACTGCTCGTTGTTAAAACAACATTAGAAGAGACCGCATCGGTTGGTATTGACGCCACCAAACGGCCTGACCGAACATCGAAATTTGTTTCCTTCCAAGCTGCGTAAAATTGCTAACCTGGTGGAATGGTTTGGAAGTTACTCCAGCAAATCTGAGCCTGAACCACTTGTACCCGTGCCTAGACGGTCACGTGTAAAGATGTTGGATTCGTTGAACACACGCTTTAATTTAAGCAACGTATGTAAAATGTTGTGTGATATCTTCCGATCCAATGCGTGTCTTTCTTTTTGAGGGCAGTCCGTTCTTTACAGTGCAGATCTTATATGACACTTAAGCTTCACCATTTGAGCCCTCTAGGAGACCAGAACTCTCCACCGGTACCTCTATCACGACAAAACTTTAGATCATGACCTTAACAGAAGGAAGGCGCCAAAGACGATAAAAGTCTGCTTCTTTTCTTTTGTCGAGGCTGTCTTCGGCGTTACCAAAAAAGCAAACGTCTGGCGAAACGGCGTCAGATATACTTTTACAGGGCGGAGCATACATTTCTAAACCTGTATGTTATTAACAATTAAACGTTCAGTGCATCGTCGCCGCCAGCAGACTTGCCCGGCTGGGAAGAGAAAGGAACTGCAAATGATGAGCGACCCTTTCATAGAGCACTAACATCCACTGTGATTCGAAGGCTTGGCGCGCTTTCCACATCGTAGCGATACGCCTTTCCATCTTGCGGTTTGGCTTGTCGCGTCTGCTCGCTTTGATTTGTGGCAGATCCACCCAATATGACCGAAGGCAGACCTTCCTGGTGTAACCGAAGGTAGACCCACTCGTCGCGACCGAAATAAGACTCTTCCAATGCAATCAGTAGCAGACCCGCCCGATGTGACCGGAGGCAGACCTTCCTGGTGTAACTGAAGGCAGACCCTCCCGGTGTTACCGAAAGTAGACCCTTCCGATGCGACAGAAGGTGGACCTAGCTTGTATTACAGACAAGACTAGCCCCTCCCATATGTAATCGACGACGTGGCCTGTCTCTGTGACCGAGGGCAGAATGGCTCGTGGGATCAAAAGCAGACCCCACCTTCTGTGACGGAGGGCGCTCATCCATCCTTGTGTGGCGGTGGCAAACTGCCGTGCCGTGCCGTGTACGTGCCGTGCCGTGCCGTGCCGTGCCGTGGGCGTGCTATGCCGTGTCGTGTACGTGCCGTGCCGTGCACGTGCCGTGCCGTGGGCGGCTTATCCGGCCGGGTGCAGCGGAGGCCACAGGCGGGCGGCAGCGCGTGGCACGGACCTGACCGCGGTCGGAACCTCCTGACGCCGTAAAGCCCGTCTCAAGGCCGGGCGGTCTCCCCAACCGCCACCACCCGTGCGGTGACGACACGCCGGACGTTGAGTAGCAGCGCAGACGACTGTATTGGCATAGGAGGCATGCTCATGTCACGACAGAAAGTCGGGGAACGTGGAGGACACCGAGGGCATTGCACAAAGGCGGGCGAGGGGCGAGTATAACCGCACGAACCTCGCCGTCATGGTGCAAGCCCTGCCACAGTGGTGGCTGCTGGACATGTGAGACTGAGATGATGACGATCTTGGAAATCCCGCTCTTGCTGAGGTTTGGCGGCGGCGCCAGCGGCGAATTTACTGCCGCCCTCCTCTCCGGGAGCCCCTTCCCCTCGAGCCCCTCCTCCGGGAAGGCGCCGCAGTCGTGACCTCCTCCTTCTCCTCAGCGGGGGGCGGCACTGTCGTCGTGGTCGCCTCGTCCTCCGAAGCCTCCGAAGTGGACTCCTCCGCGATCGCCTGCTCGGTGGTGGGCTCCTCGGCCGCGGCCTCCGTGGTGGAAGGCGCCGCTGCCGGCAGCAGCCCCGCCCGCGCCCTCGTACGAGAGTTCCTCCTGCCCGTGGGCGTCGCTGCCGGCAGGATGGAAGCCCTTGCTTCCTCGCGGGCCTCCTCGACGGGGCTGGCAGCTGGAGCCTCCGGGACGACGGGTGCCTCGACCGGCGCCTTTACCGGCCTGCGGGATTTCTCGGCGACTGGGTCCTCCTTCTTCTGCGGCGCGTCAGCCTTTGCCCCATCCTGTGACAGACGCGCCTTCTTGGCGGCGCGCAGCCGAGCGTGCTCCTTGCCGATGCGGTCGTGCTCAGCCATGATCTTGGCCACCTGTGCGAAGAAGCTGTCCCGCGCCGCTGCCACCGTGTCGGACTCCTGCAACGGTGGAAGGAGATCGTCAGCCTCGGGCCGGTGCGGACGCAGTCAAGGAAGGCCTGGCGGAGTTCAGGATTAGCATCGTGGGCTGCCACCGGTTTTGGATGGTGAGGAAACCATG